AAACAAACAAACAAACCAACCAAATAAAAAACTAGGCAAACCCTGAGTATGAAATGAATGGATTTGTTATTCCTGGAAATCCGGAAGGCAGCAAACAAATATTTGTAAAAAAATTAAATTATGTCCTCTGAATTAGTTGTCCTAACTAAAAGGAAGACCACCAGAAATGTGGGTAAATATTTCCAGCGAACAGCCATCCAGACTACTGGAGAAATCAAGTACTAGTTGTGGTACTGTTGGGTTTTGCCTCAAGAGGAGACTTGGGACTGGCTGTTGTTCAGTGACCTCTCTGATGAAATTTGATTCATGCAATCCTAACTCATCAGTAGTCCACATATCTTTATAACATAACAAAACCAGTTCAAGCCAGTTCTTGGCAGATCTCCCTTTCCCATGTAATCCTATCAAATACAATAACAAATTAAGAACTATCTTAAAGCGAATAATAAATGTTCAATTGATAATCCATTCTCTGAACAGGAATACTTAACATTGAGATAGCTGCCATCAGACACCTGAAACATGCCCTAAGGCTCAGCCATGTCAAATTGCTTTGTCTAGGGTATGTTTGAGGCTTTATCAAGGGAAATGCCCAGCTCAGAAACTCTATCCCTATCCTGTATTTGAAAAATTACATTGCCTACTTCTGCCATCTCCATTCAAGGATGCAAGGTGGCAACCTCCTTCAACTACAAGACCAATCCCTGCAAAAACACTGCTGTTCACAGCTGTTCCTTTCTCTAAATTACACTGTCATTTCCATCAAGCACCAGGATTTCCTGGCATCTAAATCACACAAACTATTTTATTCTGCCTTATCAATTTACATATCTGCAAGGTGCTAGTGTCATCGGATTCCACAATCTTCCTTTTAGTTAAGACAACTAATTCAGAAGAGGTAATTCAAATTTTTTACAATTTTTTTTTGTCACCTTCCAGATTTCCAGGAATATCAAATCCATTTATTTTGTACTCAGGGTCTGCCTATTTTTGTTGTTTATTTTTGTTTTACTTCTCCATTCTATTCATACAATATGTCAGTCTTTAGAAATCACTGCATACCACATGAGCAATCCAACAAACTTCAAACTGCTTCATTAATTGCTCAAATATAAATATTCATTACTGGGAACAAAATTATACAAAATAACAGTAGATAATCTCCCACAGGTGAGAATAGCTTCTTAGGGTAGTCAGTGACCTACCAGGGTTCTGGACTATCTTATTCCACCAAATCTCATCTATGAAGAAAGCCAAGTTTTTAATTCCCTTCCTTCATTTCTACCTTCCAAGAGGAAGTAGTARATAACTCTACCTTCCAAACTAACCTCAGTAGTATTTTCCAAACAAATCTTATTCTCTTCCACTCTCTTCCCCCATCTTCTTATTTCCAATTAGATTATCTGTCTCATATGCCTTATTACCCAGGTGCACACACACCTGTGTCATCATACCAGTGGTGGAAGGAACTAGTACCCAAGCTCAGAGAGGTCAAGAGTGCCACTTTCACCAAGTGTATTTTGGCAGGCCTCCTGATCATTCCCTTATACTTTCCCTCCCTCCCTCTTTCCAACAGTGCAAGTCAGCTCTGTGGTTGACTTTTTTGGTTCGGTCCCAAAAGCTCAGACAGGGAAATGCTGAAATTCCATGTGTTCAGTTCCTCTGCTAAAACCAGAAGTGTGCTGTGCTGTGATAACACATCTGTATACATGTATCTGAACTTGCCTAAACTCATCCCACAAAGCTTTGTTAAATGGGTTTTTTTCTGCATTATAATACATCATCTTTAAAACAAATAAAATGGAAGTCTTGATAAAATTGCGCATAGGCTAAATTTCAAAACATTGTGCTAATGTTAAATTAGAGGAAACATAYTGGAAGTGGTCACACAATACTTGTACTTTGTTATTTACTTTTCTTCAGGGTTAGAACCACAGTATAGACTCCTCTGGCAAAGGATTTGACATCTGCCTAAAAAAACATCCCATACATAATTTTGAACAATTTGAAGAATCCTCCTAGGGGAATACAATGTAATARTACTTTACACATTGTAAAAGAGCTTTATTTTTGCAAAGGGCGGGAAAAACATGAGTCTATTTTGTACAACAAGTTTTAGCAATATGTTTATGGGCCCATCATATATAGAATTTTATTTTTAAAAGATAGCAAGAAAAGTTCTAATGACTGTGGCTTGAAAACTTATTTTCTGACAGGCATTAGTTTTACCCTACACAGAAGGTAAACCAGTTTATACTATTTTTTACAATCAAACTGCCTGATCCATGTCAAGCCTGCTTTTCCYGCTCCATTATTGATCCATAAAATTCCATCCATTTGTGTACAGCTGCCACGAAATGTCACTAAAGTAAGAACAATGCTTTTCAGCAAAAGGGTTGCAAAGAGTAAAAACTGTCCATGATTTCAATGCTTCAAAGAAACATTTCAATGCTCAAAGCACACAGCGAAGGACAACTATGCAAGCTGAATGTTGCTAACGTTTGTTAGACACAGACACRATGGTGATCATGCCCTGCCTTTGCTTGCAGTCAAAATTCAGAATTTTCAGATCTAAGGGTACTATATCCAGTTAAATTTCCTAAACTCATACCAAAAATAACTCCTCAGGGAGAGAGAAACAGAAAGGTAAGAAATAATGAATGGAACTGAGATGTTTCTTGATCGTGCTTAGAGATTAGTAGTAGAATACCACTAGAAATACAATTAAAAGGCCTTATTTTCCTCACTAACAAGGATGCCAATACAGATGCCGTAACAGAAATAAAAGGTAACCATATATCTCTTGTTTGGGAATGAAAAGCAAGTATTCAATTTGGTCAAATTTGTTCCTTATCTTCCAACTTTGTTCCTGCTTTTTAGACATCAAAAAGAAATAAATACAATTCAAATACACCTTTGAACATTGCAATAAAACAATTACAGTTGTAGAAGTCAACAGTGGACTGTAGTTCCCCTCTATWAAGGGCTTTTATTGAAGATTTCTGTACAATACCATGTACTTTTCACAAACACTAGATACAATGCCAATTCTTCTTTCAGTTTGCAGTTCGTTTGCTATCTTCAATGTATGTAACATTATAGATTAAAAAGATTTTTATTATGCGAGACTAAACAGAAAAATACTGCATTTCTAAGTTGATTACAATATTGATAAAGGACTAGTTGYGAAGTAATTCTATGAAATGTTATGTATGTTGACCTTTATGCTGTGTAAGCCAGGAAGGAAAAAGAGCACGAAAGATTACAGGAAAAATAACCTGTCATTCGTACCTTTTCTTTCTCTAAATGATAATTCCCCATTCCCTGTACACACCTATTGAAACACAAGTTATTTACTCACACTCAGAAAGAGCAAACACAATCACTTAGGTCTGAGATCTTCAAGTTCATTGGGGTTTCAAAAGCAGAGASTTTGTTCCTCTACAGGACAGCAAAAGGATTCAAACCAACAAWGAAATTCTCCATTCTTGCATCTATTTAAATTTACTGTATACAAAGTAATGTAAATGGTTACATACCTGCTACTCTGGTCTGTAGTCCATGCAACAGACCTTCCCTCTGGTCTGGTTTTGTACCATATTCTTATTGCATGAGGAAAGTCTGTTGGAGTCCGAATCCCTGATTTCCTTATCTCCAAGCTCCAGGGGCCAGTTGTAAACAGAAGCTCCCCACAGCCAGGTGCCCGGCTGCACTGAGTAAAATAGTATTGCTGTTCCTTCCAGCGATCTGCAGGTAAAGTCACAAGTTCATGTATAATCTGATTCCTGAGATTTTCCAGCTCCTTTGAAGCACCAGTTAGCTTGGCAGACCTTGTAAATTTTTCAACGCCCGACACAGCAGCAACATCTACCTCTTCAACCTTTAGCACAGATAAATCACAGCAATCCAACACCAGCAGAAAATCCTTGTTTCCATGATTCTCTATGTCATAGCAGTCCTTTGAACTAGAAATCCCAGAAGCCTGTTCACTGTTACCATGGTTACTATTTTCATCAGAAGTAGCTTCCTCTTCTTTACCACTGACAGCAAAATCATTATATTCCGGTTCAGATGAACAGGTACTCACTTTTATCATAGGAATGTGGCAGGGTTCCGATTCCCTCATTTTACAGGTTTCATCAAACTGTGACTGGCAGCATTCTTTGCCAGTACCGCTGGTTTTCCTGTACTGGCTCCCAGTCTCAAAGAATAAAACTATGCTGCCTTCAATAATTTTACTTTTAAAATCCACATCCAAGTCCATTACATAGTGCTTTACAAGCATATAGCTAGTGTTTGCCATTAAGGGCAAGTCATCCTTCATGGGGTCCAGCTGTGTCTCCATGTTCCACTATTCGGCAACAGTTTTACAAAGCCTTAGACAACTCCTACATATGATGATTCCAGAAGAGAATATTCAGCCTCCCAGGGCCAAAAATAACTTTGAATAAGATTAGAATACTGAAATTACAGTTTCTTCACTTCTTGTGTTCTAAAAAAAAAAAAGGAAAAAAAGAAAGGAAAGAAATAATCTCACAACCATTTCTTAAATGCACTAATTCTAAAACCTATTAAAAGGTCCAGTTGCCTTCATTACAAACAGTACAGCTAAAGTGAATTRTATCTCTACAACGGCATCAGGCTCAAATGGCATCTGGTTGCTTCAGGATTTGCTGTCAAGAACCACTGGCTATATTTTTCAGATAAGAACTCAAATGAAAATATTTCTTTTATAAAATGATAGAAACAAACTTTACAACAGTCAGCTTCTGYGGAATCTCTTCACTCACAATAATACTTTAGAAAAAAAGACGGTTATATAACATCTAATTTAACTTGTTACTGCACTGTCATTTCTAAAGTTGCATTTTTTCAAATGCATCAAAAGATAGTGATATATTTCTACTGGAATTCTAAATAACAAGAATAAGTCTAAATCACCTCACATGCCTTAASAGTTTGAGACTAATAAATATAAATGCATGCCCATAAATTATTATGTGTTCCACATTACAACAACTTTCCTATCAGCACTTCTAGTAAATTATAAGAAAATGAGCCAGTTTATGAGGAGTGCATTCCAAGTATTCCTCTGAGATTACTCATGAAGATTTTTAAAATCTGTAATTAAATACTTAAGGTATATAATTACATTTTAGTAGTGGGAAACCCACAAAGCTCAGCATAACAGCGCCTTACAGATAACCAAAAGTCGGTTTGCTGGAAAATATGTAAATACCTATAAAGACACAAAAATATTAAAAGGCACCATTTGCTGCAACAACAAGCAGAAGTTCCAGAAGTTAAACTGTCATGCATTCTCTGTCTTGCTATGACCATTAAGGTGAAGTCACACAGTTTTAGCCCACTGAAGTCCTTTTTATCTGCTTTCTAGTTGAGGAATAGAAACCAGGGGATGGAATATGGGCAGCTCTCTCCCTGGCATTTTAGTGACACTCATCATGATAGGCAGACTGGTCAGATTTTAAGTGCCTTATTAGAACAGATATTCCACTGTGACATTATTTCACAGTTTTACACCTCATCATAGACTTCACTGTCCAAAGCCAATTTTTGTGTAGTTCTCAAAGTCAGGACAGAGAAGAACCCTGACTCCTCCAAGACCTGCTGTATGTTTTGTAGGAATCCAGGGCATGCTATCAAGCTACTATCAATAAGTGAAAGAATCAGGGCAACAAATTGTCTATTCTGTTCCCTAAACTAATTTCACACAAAACATAAAAACATAGCAAGCATCTCTCTTCCTCGATGGCTTTCTAGTAWTAGCCCTTGAAGGGCTGTCTTTGAAGACAAGCTGAGAAAAATATTCCTTTCAATCTTACTGTATTTCTGCTAACACACCAGAAAAACAAGCTSACAACAGAAGGCTCTCTTTCACTGAAATAGCTCAGTAAATTCAGGCAACATGACTGATGYATCTGTGTTGTCTGGAATGCTATGGACAGAACTTGATGTTATCTGTATTTTTTTTCTGACATCTCTAGTCAGTTATTTCTAATTATTGGTGACAGAGAAAAGAAAATAAGYGACTTAGTGAGGAAACACCCAACATTAAACTAACATTCAAACGCTGTTTTGCATAATCATATTTTTAATTTGAAAATATATATAATACTGGCACATTTATAAAATATGAGTACCATACTATTAATATTTATGCTATACTACTTATATGTGTTTATATCTTCTTTTTCATATTTTGCATCTGGAAGATACGATCAATTTCTTACCTCAAAAGTACTAAGATAATTACACTCACTGACACCAAGTTGTCAGCTACCATAGTAAAAAAACATCTCTCATGTGACTCTCAGATTTATTTAATATTTCTTAACAGGGGAGACTAAAAGGTGACAAATAGTGCCATACAACTAAATCCTATCCTAATTCTTAAAAATAGAAATAGATTATTAAAAACAATCTATATATATACATAAATGATCTTCGAAACTATTAAAACCAAGAGATACAAAAGACAAATGAAAAAAAATGGCCAGTGGGGGTAGAAACCCACACAGAACTGACATTTGTTTTCAACAGTTGGAAATTTCAAAKCAACACTTCTGTTTAGTGGAAATGACACATCTAATCATGTTTACAAACAGAGCAATAAAAATGTAGAGGAACACACTTGTAGACAAGTAACAACTTCTCCTGCATACACTCTGACTCTGTATTTTAATTCAGATGTAACTTTGTATCTGTTTAATCTAACCTCACATCACCTTAGCTTTAGAAGCCTCAGCTTTCAAAAATGTTATGTAGCCTCTCTATCTCCCAAGCATTAGTAAGTGAATTTAAATGGCTATTTCCAGGTGTCTCAGTTTCTTTACACCTGAAAATTRTTTTAATTTTCCTACAGATCATTAGAATTGTGCAATGAAGAACCTGCTATGCTATTCTATGCTGATAGTGTTGGGGAYTCACTAATTTTTAAATCTTTGTATTTTTGTACTGTATTTTGATCATTTCATATTGATATTGAATTAGCAAAAAGCTCTGTCTTCTGTGCAAAGCATGTTTATGTTAAAAATTATAATTTTACTTCTCCCCTAAAGCCTCACACAGGAAGTTTCATACCATGAAGCAAAGTGGTGTCAGAAATAATGTGAGACAGTACTCTTTAAAGCTTTCCTAACTGGAAAATAAACTGAATTCATGCACTATACCTTACAGGCATGATAATCATGCATGCTTTTAATTTAAATGTTAATTTTATAGTAATGTCACCAATTTTAATTTTTTAGGAGACACATTATGAAGGTACAGCAAGCTCCACTCTTTCCAACAGCTGTGGAGTTTCCAAATATAAGGCTTTCATGTGGTATAATTTGCAATAATAGGTGGAATATAACATGCAACAGAATATTGAGAAAGTACAAGGAAATTCATGACCTTGAATTTCTTGTCAATTTTTGGATATACATCCTTAGAGTGAATTTCCGCCTACATTATGTTAATTGAAGTTCTCTTATTTCAATAGTGCATCTGCTTCTAGCCAGACCAAAGATGTTTGCTAACAGCTTCACTGCTGGTTTTTCAGTGTACAGGGCCAAACACCTATACACTTAATTCAGAGAAGGAAAAAAATGCACAAAAACCTTGATGATTTTTTTTAAAAATGTAATTTCTGTACTGATCTATGCCTGGAGCTTCCAAAGGCACTTCCAAAGATTTACTGCGCACCCAGCAACATGCCAAAAATCCACTGTTAACAGAATAAAAATTATAAACAAAATGGCTTTGTTTCCTGTATTCTAGTGTCTCATAGTCATGCATAGTAATGTTGTTCAGATTAGACAGTCTTGTAGTACTGTCTGATTGCACAGATTTAGAAACATCAGAATCAGAATATTCCATTTCTAAGGGTTAGCTTAAAAATATTTCTAGACACGTCTGTATACTTTCAGTAACTGAGACATACCTGTTTATATAATATAAATGAGTGGCCAAAACGAAATGTTAAAAAGCAGTTAGAGAATCTTGAAGTTCAGCCTTGGAACTCTGAATAAGCATCAGAAATGCCACCCATGCTGCCTGTTACTTCTGCTGTGGAGCAACTGCTTACTAACATCCTTGCACTATGCATTTACCAACTTGGTGACAAACTYACCCATGGAAGTTTTGCTTAAATACAACTCAGCACCCTCCTGCCAGCAGCAATAGTTCATGCATAGCACAGAGAGAAACAGCACATTTAAGACAAACTGGAATGAAGCTGCTATTAGTACAAAAGTTTTGATCATTTATTACATAAGCACTCTCCTTGATTTTCTATCTCCAATATATACTACCATTCTCTGGAAGCAGAAAGTCCATAGCCATTATTATTACCACGATTTCCTTATCACTGTGATAAGGAAAAATTATTCTAGGAATTAAAAAACCCACTGAGAATAAGTGAGTGGAACTGCAGAAGTAAAGYCCTTTTTCAGAAATATGTAACAGCAGCAGACTACCTTCTTCTACCTGCTGAAAAGCAGAAGCAACTTCACTCTGCAACATTACAAAATTGTATAGAGTAATGAAATAAAATTGATAAAAGCATTTCTTCAGACTGTATGCAAGTTGAGGATTCAGAACAAAAAAGGCCTAAAAAAATGTGGTCACTACTCCATCTAGCACTTTAGTCCTGGGAAGGATCAGCCACATATAATGCCTGCTTTATAGTAGTAATGAGGTGACATTAGGTCATGTTAGGTTTCCAATTGCCGACAATCCCTAGCATTAGGAACCTTAGTAAAATGTACCACATTACAAATTCCAGTGAACCTATGTATGCACCTCAGGTTGTGAAAATTAAGAATCAGGTATTTTTGAGGACTGATTTAATTATGGTCATTGGTTTAATCATTCTTATTGACATTAGAAGCTATCACAATGCATTTCCAAAGGAATATGTGGTTATTACACCCTTACTATTACTGCATTCTGTTAGTAGTGTGCAAGCAGTAAAGTATTCAAAAATACCCTTTTGCACCTATTTTAAAAGAAAATAGAGACTGAAGACAGAGGTTTTTAAATGGACACATTTACCTGTACAAAATAATGCTAGACAATCATTGTTGAACACTCCTGCTACACCAGTCTCCACAGTATRGATAAGGCAAGAGACTCTCAGCTCTTGCCCACTCCTGCTCATATTTGACCAATTAACTGTGTGAACTTGTCTAGTTTGCTTCATTTAAGATACTGAGAAAGTTCATAACCTGACTCCAAATATTTGCACTGTTAGAAACAGACTTCCAGTACTCAYTAAATGCAATAATTTTCAAATACATGCAGGGAACTATTTAAAATATGTCCTGTATGTATGAATTAGGGTTTTGGCAGGTTATCCTTCATTCAATAAAAATGTATTTTCATCAGCCAACTATGTTACTTCCATCGAATTTGGCCATTCATATCCATGTCATCCTAACTCTAGATTTATTAAAAATATGCTCAGAGTGTTTTGATGTGTTGGTGGTT